GTTGACAAGATGTGGCGGACACCAGGATATGCTTGATGTGGGGGCGTGTGCGGCTTGGCTGCGGCCGCAGCACGTGCTTCTTTCTGGCTTCCTCCGCCATCAATTGAAGGCTGAGGGCCTTGGCTTCAGCACGTGCCTGTTCTGCCTCCTGTTTTTTTGTTGGCCTCCTCTGCCTGCTTGGCCTCCGCCGCGGCTTTTTGCCTGGCTGCTGCCTCGGCACACGTTGCGGCGGCCTTTGCGGCGTTTTGAGCTGCGAGGCGCTGCCTCTTCAAGGCGGCCCACGCCGCGGCCTTGGGCTGCACAGCTTTGGGCATGATAAAATCTCAAGGCTTTTTGACATAAGTTGGGGAAGCTATCTGCGAATGATCTACAGAAAGGGCCCCCGCCTCCCTTTTTGGGCTTCCTCAGCCCTCCATGCTTGACGTGCCTTCTCGAAGGCCTCCTCCGCTTTTTTGGCTTCTTCTGCCTGCTTTGCCGCAGCAGCAGCAGCAGCAGCAGCAGCAGCAGCTCTCCTCTTGGCTTCAACCGCGGCACTCGCCTTCTCGAAGAGGGTTGCTGCGACGTCCATGTTGTATCTTTCTTGAGGTGGGCAGTTGCGAAGCTTTCCCACAGAGGTGAATGTTAGACGGGCTGTGAGCCCATGCTTTGTGGGTTTAGGGCTTCGTTTCGGGGGAGGGGCGTTTCACCTTCAACAATGGATCCTCGATTTGAGGAAGCCCTTCAGGCAAGGACCTTCCTGCGGTACAAAGGGCACTTAACCCTATGGCTGTCCTGGGAGTTTTTAGCTGTTGAGGGTGGACCTCAGACGTCATATTTAGGAAATGCGCGTCAGAAGATGTCAGAATAGAGCAAGGAAGTGTTCACAGGGTTCCTGTGGCTATTGCAGTGATTGCTTGAGAAGTCCTACGTACAAAGAACGCATTCTGATGCTCTCAGCTGTTTGAAATGACGCCCGGGAATTCTGAATATTTGCTGACCTTGATGTTTTGTTGTGGCCTTTGGCGTTTCTTGAACCGGGGGGGGTGTGCCTGAGGCAGTCAATACAGCACAAGGGTTCAAGAAGATCCGAGTAAAGATCAAGTCAGACCTTCATTCCTCTGTTGCGGCAACCTTCGATTTGGATTCCCTATAAATCGAGCTTCGCATCTCTTCAACCAATCCGCAGGGGTGACCTACCAGGACATTAGAATTGAGGCAGAAAAAAGTAGTTACGTGGGGGCGGGGGGGCACCATATGCGTATATACATACATATATATATATATTGTAAATAACAGGGTTTCCCCAATATATTTTCCCCAATATTGCACCTATTGGCGTGAATTAAGTTCCTTAACTGCAACCCAGTATCCCTTGAGTCACTACGAACCACCAGTTAAGTTCTTGGCTTCGGCCGGAGGGCTCGGGTTGAGAGTGGCTTTTGGAGCAAATATTCTTTAGGTTGCATTTCATAACGTCTTCAAGTTCACCAAAAACCTGAACCATAAACGCCAAACCCTCGGGCGACCCAAGCACTACAACCCTTGAGGCATCCTGCGCTTATGAATTCTGAATATTCTGAGAACGATTCTGGGTATACTGAACAACACACCTACACGCCCGTACATTTATACATATATACATATGTACAGAAATCCATATAACATATATACATATGTAGATATACATGTAGAGGAACCCCACCTAAAACAGCGCGCGCCATGGCAACTCGATGGCACCATGGACAGTTGAAGGCTATGTACAGGTGGTAGCGCCCAGACTCTGCAGGGAACTCCTCTGTTCCGATGAATGACCTACAGAAGGGTTTAGCATTTAGCGATTAGGGGTTTGGGGTTTCAGGGTTCGAGTATAGGATTAAGGGTTTAAAGACCTGGCGCAGTAGCTCAACAAACAACCTGCGAAGGACCTGCGCATGATCCTTGTGTCATTCTGTGGCAAACGAGTGTGTTTCCCAAAGCTCAAAAACACCTTGTGGTGTTCCACGTTATCAGGAGAAAGCAACAAAACACGCAGCGTGTAATTGACTACTTTAGGTCAGGTAGCATATGCTTGCCTAAACCCTAAACCCAATTTCGATGACTGCGTTGGCGTAAAGGACTGACCCTGGTGTCACTGCGAACTGAGGCATTGGCTTAGGGCTTCGTGTTTCAGGGTTTTGGGTTTAGGGTACTAAAGTAGCATCATTTCTACCACTCCCATGGCAACTCTTCACGAAACCATCCTATTGTTACAGCATTGCTATACTAATACCTTTCTTCCGCCAGGAACATGCATGAAAAAGACCTGGCACTTCAAGCCGCACCTTGTTGTCAGCAGAAATCGTAGAGTGATTTCGGTTCACTCCACCACAAAAGTTGCAGCACTTAATACTAAACCCTGCATTCTGCACCCTAGACCCACTGAAGCGCCTGGCGCTTGAAACTCCACGGACAAACTCCTGGGCAAGCAGTTGGGAGATTGTGCAAAATCATCATGTTATTCCCTGCTTATATATGCACGCATGAAAATGGAGAATTTAACTCAACTGTGATCCACTATTTCACCCGTTGCACTTAACAGCGCTCTTGCTAGTACTAGCTCCTATTGCTCTTGCTATTTCTCCTTGTGTTACACTTACAGATCCCTTCATGATAATACTAAACGCTCCCCCCGCCAACTGAAATTGAGGGACCTACTCTGCTGGGGAATAACATTTAATGTTAGGGGTTGGGAGGTAACTCATACCAGCACATACATGTGTATATATATACTATATATATATGTATATATATTTGTATATACATATATATATATATATTATGGGTGGGAAGGTATCCGATATCAGTATCACAGGATTACTAATATCACTCAGGCTCCCCTCCGGCACGGCGCTCTGCCGCGTTGGTCTGATCATCAGTCGTTAGACCGGCAGCGCCCACCACAGCCATGGCGCTATACGGCAGATAGGAAATACACGCAAACAATTCAAGCGCAATCCCCAAAATGCTTTAACCAGTACCTATGATGGATCCTGAAATGGTTGAAGGAAATACCAGCATTAGCCATTAGCCGGGTACTCACAACAAGCCCCGAAACCGGTCCACTGAGCAGCTCGCATGGCGGTCGGAAGAAGGAAGAAGGACTGATTTGCTGGCGAGCATGTAATAACAACCACCACCACCACCACCACCACCACCACCACCACCACCACCACCACCACCACCATGGCTATGACCACGACAACTATGACGACAACGCCTACGAAAACGACCGCCGCGCCCACCGCCAACGCCATCAGAAGCAGCTGAACTGAGACAACATCTTCTAACCCCTATAGTCCTATAGTAGCTAGTAGTAAGAAGAAATAACGCCACTAGGCTGAGGCTTGCGATTATGCTGTTCATACTAATGCTTTGCATGACCCTAAGTAGCCTAAACTCAGGAATAAAGCAGTCTAGTAAAACAATGTCATGCAGATTCATAGTATCCATGGGGTGTGGCTTCCTCAAAATCAAGGGCGCTTGTGCTCCCCTAAACATATATGATGGGCTCATTGAAGGATTCTATGGCCCTATAAACCCTAAACCCTAACCCCCTAAACCTCTAAACCCTAAACCCTAAACCCCCAAACCCCAAACCCCCAAACCCCAAACGCCTAAACACCTAAACCCTCAGAAAACAAGCAAACCGAATTGGACTCGCATGTTTGGGGTCATTCCCCCTTACAGTACCTGTTACCACAATGGGTTATAGGAGTTATACGAACCCCCTTAATAAGGCCCCTTTAAGGACTGTTACTGGGAGGGGGATGACCCAACTCATGTGACTGACAAGGCTCATCCCGTAGGTTGGAAGGATCAATACAAGTGTTCAGGATGAATGCGGGTGGGGGGTTTAGGGTTTAAGGTCTAGGCTTCAGGGTCTAGCGTTCAGGGTTCAGGGTTTAGGATTCAGGGTTTAGGGTTCAGGGTTTAGGGTTCAGGGTTTAGGGCTCAGGGCTTAGGGTTCACGGATTAGGGTTTCAGATTCAAGGTTTAGGGTTTAGGGATGCAATGCATTATGGTAGCCATAGTGTCGAGAAACACTAGACCTATGGGTGCCACACATGCATTTGTCAAAAAAGGTGGTCCTCCTTAAATACACTCATTAAAAAAAAGACCTTACGATATGGACTCTAACAACCGTTATTTTGGGAAACCCTAAAAACTGGTCTAGCAGCAAGAAGACCACGACGACCATGCGGAGCAAGAATCTCCACAAGCCTTCGAAGATGTGGAGCGTACACTCCCGAACTCTCGAGTCTCATGGTAACCCAAGAAAAGCCCTATAAAGACTATCGTCCTGTTAGAAGGCGTCCACAGGGCTTCCATTTTGTTCTGCGGAAATCTAGTCTGGTCCCTCATCCCTAAACCCTATACGTCCATAAGCCTCTTCACAAGTTTCACCTAACGCCCTACAAATCTGGTGGGTTTAGGTTCGCGGCCATGGTTGAGGTTGCTTGGGAGTTTGACAGCGCCGATGGGCGGGTTTTCAGGGTCTAGCCCTGAGGGTTCAGGGTATGTGGGGACTATATAAGCTATTGTCTGCACTTCTGGTATCTCCCTTAGCAACCCCTTATAGTACTCCCCTATATCATCGCCCTTGTGGCTCAGTGAAGGAGTTTAGACTAAAGCTCTTATAGGGTTTGGGGTCTATTCAGGGTTCTGGATGCAAGGGTCTTAAACTTGTCCCAGTGGGCGAAGGGTCAGAGGATTATAGATTTGTGCGCAACAACAAAAGCTTGGCTTCTGTAGAAAGCTTTTGCATGAGGCCAATTTCCAATTCATTTCCCACTTGCTTGTCCCTTGGATTCTCCCTCATTACCGGGGAAACATCGCCAACCCTAAACCCAAAATAGTAGTTTTCCATCTCCTTTTCCATTTCTATATAGCCCTCTATAAGCCTAGTAATTATTGAGACCCTTGGGTTATGCAACTACAGGTACCATGAAAGTTCACTGAGACAGGGCTTGGCAATCAGCTTTCCTGCGTTCTAAGTATGCTAACAAATTTAGGATTTGGGGTTATAGAGGTTTCGCTGTAAATTAATGATGTTTGGCCATGAAGCAAGATCAAAATGATCCCGAACTGCCTGCTTGCCAAATTCCCTGGCCCACAGATTGGTAACCTTTTAAAAATAAATGGGTTATGTATACCCCCAAAATATAGGTTATCCCCTGGAAACTACGGAGGATACTAAAAAGCCTGCACGTGCATAAGCCCCCTGCGCCTTGGGAATAATGGTATTGCAGAATAGTAAAGGCCATGCCAGGTTTTGCACATCAGTACCATATGGTAGTTTCCCCAAATAGGGTGCCCCCAATATAGTCCTTAGTATAGGAACCCTGAAAATGGTATCCCTGTCCTTGGGAAAGCCCGATATGCCCTATGGTCTAAATTCCTAGTATCCCGCTTACAGCCCCAAATAATACTCCCCTTTATAATCCCTTATATCAACCCCCCTTAACGAGTTTAGGCTATAGCTCATAGACTTATGGAGGTGATAATTTCCCTAAATCCCTAAACCCTAATCCCTAAGCCCTGTTTAATCCCTAAACCCTAATCCCTAAACCCTAAACCCTAAACCCTAAACCCAGAACCTTATGGAGGTAATTACTTCTGGCCTTCGGATTGCAGAGCTCCTCCTCACTTGCTGAGCAACCTGGCTGACTCTCCTCCAAGAAAAGCTGATGTAGGGGATTCTGACAAATGAGGGCTATATAGGGATTATATAGGGGCTATATAGGGGATATATAGGGGCCATATAGGGATTCTTACAACTTAGGGTTTAGGAGGTTCAAGGTTTTTTTAAGCGCTCCTTTGCCGCCAGGCGGCAAAGATCCGAAGGATCGAGCGAAGCTTCGCAAACCTCAACCCTCTGAAAGCAACGATCCAGGACTGTCAAACTGGGCCTTTCAAACCTGAATCCACTGCGAGTTCAGGGTCTAGGGGGTTTAGGATTCGGGGAGCTTCGGGAATTCTGACAAACTAGAGCTTAAGGGGTTTAGGGTCTAGGGCCCAGGGTTAGGGTCCAGAGTTTAGAGGGGATTTGGGTTCAGGGTTTAGGGTTCAGGGTTTGGGGTTTCCAGGAAACCTTAGGTATCGTGATGCGCTTAACAGGAGGCTGTAGGCTTCCTTGCAGGATTACTCGAGGAACGTTTGCGGTAAGTAGCCAGGTGTACTTTGTGGGACCCTGGGATTACTAATGGGTTCCGTATCCTACTTTAAGGGTTACAATCGGGTTATAATGGGCTCAATATACTATATGACCTAATTCCTGGGTGCACTAGGCAAGGTTTGCACATGTTTTCGGAGGGCCTATCTGACTTGTTACGAGGACTGTTCAAGGGCACAGGGTCCCGTGGAAGTTTCTATTAAAAGTTCCCAGAAATCGTTTTTCTAGCACATCCTAGAGACCGCCTATACCCTAAACCCTAACACCCTGTATGTAGTATTCTGAGGACTGCAGCGCAACGATGTGCGTTGTATTGAGGTTGCTGTGTCTGGCATTTAGCGCCAAGTGGCTCGAAAGCTGCATGGTGCTTCGGCTTTCAGAGGTTATGAGCTGCGACTGCTGACTTCTGAGCGCGCCAAGGAATGCGAAATTACAATTTTGAGCTACTTCAGCGCATGTTTTTGTGGCCAGGAACCTGCGTGTCTCGTCGAGATAGATTACCCGAAGGAATCGTTTGACAACCTTGGAAGCAAAGTCCACGGCCAACACCGTATGGCGCGTTCTCAAAATTGGCATCCCTTGGGGCTGGTACTGAAACTCCGAGTGATGCAGGATTTTAAGTACTGGAATACATGGCGGTGAGGCGGAGCAGGCGTGGAGACGTCAGAACGCCACCCGCGCATAGTCGCATAGTGTCAGCGGATGGATCAAAGGGAGGGTTCAGGAGTGTCCGGGTGTAGGAGTGCCGCAAAGAACGCAGATGTGTGGATGGTCTTGGGAAAGCCTTTATAAAGAATTGCGGAAGCGGCTTTCTCAACTAGTGCTTGGGAACTGCAAGCCCGCAACCACAAACGCCCAGCCCCAAGCCCTGCGCCCTAACCCGCAAACCTCAAGACCCGAATCCCCAAAACGTCAACTCAAACCCTGTATCCCGCAAACCCCAATTCAAACCCTATGTAGAGCCTACTTCTGGTGAGAAACTCCTACCTGTACGGGGTCGACACCTCCCCTGAACTGGGTTGCTGTTGGGGAACTTAACGCAAGTTACAATAACAAGGAATCCCATTTCTTACGGTATACCCATATTATGGTCACTTAATTGAAGTTCCTTCAGAGCAACCCAGTAAATCACATGCCGACAATCTAAATTTCTCTCACTAGACCTCAAACCCTGACTCTTTACGTTCCGTGACATGGAACCTGAAAAACGGCTGGCCTCTCATATCCGGCATGCGGGGCTCCGTGATAATTCGCTGGAGCACCCTTAAACCTCCGTAGTTTCCATGAGCTTCTCCCCTGAGCCCTAAACCCTGAACTCTTCAACCCAATCCCAACTCTTCTCCTGAGTCTACGATTACCATTACTGTTGCCTTTACTGTTCCTCCTACCGCTTTCTAAACCTACACCCTAAACCCGAAGCCCTGAGCCCTGAACCCCTAAACCCCAAAACCTAAAACCCTAAACTCTAAAGCCTTAAACCCTAAAATCCTGTTTGCAATCCCCTCCCAGTGTCCTTCAAACGACGACTTCGCACCCCGCCACCACAGCTGCGGCTGCAGGAGCTCCTGCAGGTACACAAAGGAGTCTCTATGCAGTATACATTGGGGCTAGCAGGGTGGGTTTAGGGTTACATAGGGATAATGGAAAATGAAATGGAAACTACTTAGGGAATAAAGGGGTATATATGGGGTTATATGGGGATAATGCATGCAGAAGGAAAAGGGGTCCCCCATTC